CACGGGGGGTGTGCCCCCGCGCCTGCCACCGGCAGCCAGCCCAGGTCTCGGTGCTCGGCTCAGGGCTCCTGACAGCCCAGCCCGCGGGAGCCCATTGACTAGTGCCACCACTGAGGTCTGGGAAGGAGGCAGGAGAGGACACTCCTGCCCCAGGGCCGAATGCCACCCTGTCAGAGACCGGCTATCGCTGGCCCCAGGCCGCGGTGGCTCACAGCGTGTGTTCGGCTTGAAGCTGGGAGGGGAGCAGGGGCTGCATTGGAGACTGGGGGGTGGGCGGAGGCGACTGAGGGGGTGACGGCTGATTGTCTGGTAGGTGCGCGTGGCCGTGAGCGCGTCCATGGTGCTGAAGTCCGGCCTCATCAGGGTGGGCCAGAAGCAGATGGAGAGGTTCTCACTGGTCATGAGATTCACTTTGTTGTTGTGGCTGACTCTGTGGGTGACAGCGACCGCGGTCAGACCTGCGCCCGCCCCGCCTGCGCAGCCCCGGCCCAGGGCTCTCCGGGCGTCCCCACAAGCCCCTCAAGGACCCACTCAACAGGTGACCACAGTGGGAGAAATGCCCTGGCTGGGCAGAGGGAGCAAGCAGGGCTGGTGGGCTTCCCCGCAGCATCGGCCTGCACTCAGTTGTCCTTTCCCACAGCATCCGCTCTTGGTCAGAGGGGCTGGGACAGGGCTACAGGCTCTCTTAACGCCCCACGGCCAGAGTCCAGCAAGGTGGAAGGTGGGGCCTGAGGACAAGCTGAGATCCAGGGTGCTCTTCACATGGGGAGCTGAGGAGCCCCGCTGAGGAGCCCCGCGGCACTGGCTAGACCCTGCTGCTGGGCTGAGGCCGGGGCCCTGCTTGGCTTCCTCCTGCTGTCCCGGCCCCTGCCCTCACTTCTCCAAGGGAGCAAACACTGACCAGAAAGCCCCAGACCTACTTGTTCAGGTGAGAGATGACGTATTTGAAGACTTCATGGTTCTCCTTTGGGAATCTCTTCAATACCTCCTTAAGGGCATGCAATTTCTGCTCCCGGTCGTTGATTTCTGAGGGGACAGAAAACCAAAGACTGTCATGGCTCAGGCAGACGCATGCAGGGGCTCAGTACAGGTCCCAAGCGTGAGGGGGCCTGCGGTGGGCTCTCCCCATGGGGAGGCAGGCAGTGGGACTCTCAGACAGCGCCGAGCCACCCTGCTCCCGAAGCCCGTGCTCACAGCTGGCCCACCTGGCTGGGGCAGTGGCCTGGGGGCCAGGCCACTGAAGGACAGCACTGTGCTGGGGCTTCCTGCCCCACACCGAGATGAACGGCCAGAGTCCCCACCGTAAAGGACATATTCTTTGCTCCTCCGGTTGCCCCTGGAGACAGACAAGTGCTCCCACCCACCATGCCACGTCCTTCCAGGGAGGGGTCTGTGGTGTCCTCCTGCAGGCTCGGGCCCCTGCTGGAGGAGCTGCTGGACACAGTGGGGGTTCTTAAGCAGTTCATCAAAAGGAGCCCCACACTCCCTGGCCACGGTCACCTATACCTGGCCCACGGGAGAGGGAAGACGAGCAGCCCTGAATAGTCGTAACTGACAAGACGCCCAGTTCAGTGAGTCCCCACCATCCAGTGAGACAGAAGCTGTCACTACCCCATGGGGAAGACAAAGAACCTGCCGCCCAGGGTTGCAGAGCTGGGAACCAAATCCCGCGCGACTAGCTACAGAGCCTGAGCTGCGGCCACTGGTTCCCCCACTCCGAGTGGGCCTGGCGGCAACAGGCGAAAACGCCCAGCGCCCACCTGGACTCAGGGGGTCAAGCCAGACGGCGGACACCTCGACGGCTACTTGTTGGAGAAGAAGGGTATCCCTGGGAGTCTGGGGCTCAGAGAAACCACGGCTTCTGAAGAGGATGGCGGCTAGCTAACACCGGAGGCTGTGGGGGTGGGCAGACAGGGGCTGGTAGAAACTGTAAGGTCCCCCCCACCAGTCAGAGCTACTGGCTAAAGGAGCCAGGTCTCATGGCTGATCACAGCTCAAGTCTCGCCCCGACAGCTTGGAACACAGACGAGGCCTGTGTGCGTGGTGCCCCAAATCCCAACGGATGAAGTAGAGACGGGACTGTGGCCTGTTCACGCCCGACTGTGGGCGCTCGCTCCCTCTCTGTCTCTGGCAAGAGCACATACCCTCTGGCAATTACAAAACCAATGGGGTCCTCGGCTGCAATCCACCCTCCGTCTGAGCTGGCCTGATCATGGGCCAGAAAGTGAGCTTGGCGTGCTCAAGGAGGCCCTGGGACATGAACCCAGAACCTTTCCTATGTGGGTCCTGTGTGTTACAGCCACATCACCTGACCCCTCCCAACCACACACTCTCAAGGAAGCCTGTGGCCTCCTAGCTAAAGTCTTCTGCAGCAGGCAGGTGCCCAGGGTCACCGTCAGGGGAGCTGTAGGAGCCTGGCACTGGCCAGAGTGGTGGGGACTGAGTGTCAACGCGGGGCAGCCTGGGCAGGAAGGAAAATTGCGTAGCGGTGCAGAGACCAGACCCTCCCCGAGGCGATCCTGAGGTGTATACATACATACACCAGAAAGACAGAGACAGAGAGATAGAAAGCTAGAAATCACCCCCCACAATCCCTTCTCCTCTCGGGATCTTGGGTACTCACGCACACGTGCCTGGCATGAGTCTAAGCCACCGGGTCCGGGACTCGAACTGCGGTTGACTACATGGGAAGTTCAGCAACACAGCCATTACACCAGCTGCTGGTCCCGAGGTGGTCCTGAGTTTGAATCCTGTCTCCAACGCTAACTAGTTGTATGATCTTGGCCAAGTGACCTCTGGGCAACAGTGCCTCCCTCACCCGGTGACACCCGGCAGTTAAGTGAAGAGTGTGTGGCTGACACATGAGGTTCTGGGAGCTGACCTGACCCATAGGGAGCCAGGGGACAGAGGCCAACGAGCACGAGCCCAGGTGAGCCTGTGGACCGCAGAGGGTGGCTGCATCACAGCAGTGCTTTGGTGCCACCTGCCTCTTAGGAAGTGACTAAAAATCCACGAAGCGGGAGCCTGGGCTACGGCCCGCTCTGCTGTAAGGGCTCACCGTCGAGGGCGCTCCACGGCCTTCGTGAGAACGCCCTCTGTCCCCGCTCGGTAAGAGGACTGCGTAACCGCAGCAGGGAGCAGGAGGTACGCTGGGAGACACGAGACGCACGTGTGTAGCTGTTTCGCCCCACACAACAGTCATGGCCTTCAGAAGTGGGCTCGGCGTAGGTGCCCGCCCCAACACAGCCAGGTGCTCCCACCAGGCAATCAGCTGGTGGGGGGCCGCCCAGTGTCCGCCAGGGCCACCGGACTCCTGTCCCCGCACGCTGGGCTGGGACGGGCGGGGAGCAGCGAGCCTGCTGCGTCATACCCATGACCCCCACGAGTCCTGCTGCCCCTCAGGCAGTGGCTCGGCTAGAGCTCAGCAGGTGCTCAGTCTCCTCGGTCCTCCTGCTAGCTGCTTGGTCCAGGGGCTCACAAGGGCTGAGGGACACCAAGAGCTCAGTGGTGGCAGCGATGGAGGAGGCCATCACAGAGAACCGTAAAAACAAGGTCAGTCTTGTCACCGTCCATTGGACTCGACTCCATTCTCTTTTTTTTTTTTTGGAGAGGTTTTTGCTATAGGGCATGTGCGCTCGCCAGAAAGAGAGAGATGGAGAGACAGAAAGCGAGAAATCGCCCCCCGGGGGGATGGCCACGCCTCAATCCCTTCTCCTCCATTCTCCTCTCGGGATCTTGGACACACACGCACACGTGCCCAGTGTGGGTTTAAGCCACTGGGCCTGGGACTTGAACTGTGGTTTACTACATGGAAGTCCAGAGACATAGCCATTACGCTAGCTGCTGGTTCCGTTGGACGCGACCCCATTCACCACATTCTCAAAAAAAAGTCTTCCCGCAGCACCTTTGGGTGAAAGGCCTCCTCCAGGTGCAAACCTCTCTAAGACGGGGTCTCGTCGTGTGGGGACCCTCCCTCAGTCTCTCAGCGGGGACAGCAGGTGCACCGCCACAGCTTAGACAGGGTCTGCTGTCACTCAGGCCAGTTCAAGCTGGCGCTTGTGCTCCCCCAGCCTCCGCC